GAACACTTTGGGCTTTCACCCTCTCAGACTCGGACTCGGACTTGAACTCGGACTCGGACTCGGGCTTGGGCTTGGGCTCGGTCTCGGCCTCAGCCTCGGTCTCGGTCTCAGTCCCGATCTCGATTTCAGTCTCGACTTCAGACTCCATCTCGGGTCCTTCTCAGACTCTGTCTCGGGTCCATCTCAGACTCTTCCATGTGTCATGTGTCGGTCCGTCTCTTTTGTAGAGACTCACTTATTGCTCACTTCATGTTTGTTCCTCAAGCACTTCATTAGGAGTTCCACTCCCACTCTCAACCTTTCAAGTTAGAGCTTTTAGTCTAAACATGTTATGCTCGTTTGGCTTTCTCTTTGGCTACTACCACATGGCACCCTTTTGGCTCCACTTTAGGGCTTAAGGATTTGTGTCTCATAGTGACCTCTCGGAAAGTCCAAATTCAGGACCTTACACATTGGTATGACAAAAGTGAATGGGCATGACCTTAGCGTAGCAAACTGATATGTCGATAATACTTTTGGGTGTTGGTAATGGGATCAGACATATGGAGCACTTGAACCAAGTGCAAAGGTTGAGTGGCATGGATGCCATTTTCGGGGATAGCATATCCCCAAGTCTAGAATAGGACTTATGGAGATTATGAGTGAGATTCCCCCAAAAAGTTGGAGGTGTGGTTAAATGACTAAAGTAGATAGAGCCCATAATAAAAAATGCTAAAGAGACTTACTAGGGGTGAACACCCCTTGGACTCAGCAAAGCAAAGCCTTTGATATGGAATCGAAAGAATACCTCGAAGGTGGAGGTAGTGATCCTATGTTGCTTGGTGTAACAATCAAAGGATAGCAACAAAAGATAAATGGCCAAGAATAATCCATAGAAATCATTAGAAGGAATCCAAATGGCAAAGTTAGGAATACTTAGGTGTTGAATGTTAATGAATTGTGGAAAAAGAAATATATTTTTAAAGATGAATTTTCAAATGTTTTAATTTGGCGAAAGGGAAAACTCTTAGGGAGGGAGTGGCAAGGTAACCAAATGATAGGGCTATGGACAACCCTAATACAAATTATAGATAAATGGAACTTAATGCCAAGGGTGGCACGAAATATAAGAGAGGATGATAGTGCCCTTAAGTAAAGAACTTCTTAGGATAGGGAAGTGGAGTTTATACAATAAATGTAATATAAGATGTCAGAGATATTTAGGAAATTGACTTTGAAAAGTCAAAATTAAAAGTTCTAAAGTGTGATAATTATATTGATAAAAGTTGAGACTACTCGGGAATGAGTTGTTGGATTGAGATAGAGAAGGTGTCTTTAATAGCAAAGACTAAACAAATATAGACATATGATCAAATGAGTTTCTAAATTAAAGAGACTATACTCATTAGAGAATGGGCAAAGCATGGTGAGCCTTTGGTGTTGAACTAATGATAAATATTAGTTACATGCCAAGGATGAAAAAGGGTAATCCATAGTGGGGTTACTTTATTAAATGGTTTATCATTTGATGAGGACATCAAACTTTGTTTATGGGTGGTGGCATTGTGGAACACAAATCTCTAAGCCTCAAAGTGAAGCCAAAAGCGTGCCATGTGGTAGTAGCTGAGGCAGAAGCCAAATGAATATAACACATTTGGACTAAAAACTCCAACTTGAAAGTCAAGAGTGGGAGTGGAACTCCCAAATGAAGTGATCGAAGGCCGAGAACGAAATGAGCAACAACTGAGTCTCCAGAAAAAGGGATCCGAAATGGAGTCTGAGATGGAGTTTGAGATAAACCTAAGATAGAGTCCAAGATAGACCCAAAATAGAGTTCGAGATGGACCTGAGATGGTGTCCAAGATGAAATTTGATATGGAGTCCGAGATGGACCTAAGACGGAAACCGAGATGGAGTCTGAGATGGACCTGAGATAAAGATAGAGACCGAGACCGAGAATATACCCTTGTATTTGGTAATGATATAAACACTGAGGAGTCCAATGCTAGAGTGAATATAGACAAACAAGCAGGGTAGCTTGGTGAATTGTTCAAGAGCCGGCTCTACCTTCTCTAGGGGATCGAATGGTCGATGCTTTTAATCCAAGTGTGGGTGGCACTACCTACTTGGATACTTGGTATGGCTCAATAGAATCTCACTCTAGCCACATAATTAGGGCACCCAAAGGCAAAAGGTGGGGAGAGTACCCATAAGGCTTGCATAAAGTTGTAATGTTTTCAAATATTGTCCTAAAGTCCTAGATTGAGGAAAGGAAGAGGAGAAATCCTCTTGTGTGGTGACTAAAGATGCAACCATATGGCAAGGAAGTTCTAGAGATCAGTGGGATGTAATGGTTCGGCCTTCAAACCTTGACTCAGTGGTAGTGTTAGTGAACACATCTGTGGATAGAAAGGGATTTGGTGGGGACCGAAAGAGGATATTAAGGAAGGTTATTCCCTATGTTTAAGGGCATCCTAAAAATGCTAAGAAGTGGATTTGGGATGATCATTTATGGATAGATGGCCTAGTCTTTGAAAGACAGGACTGTGATGTAAATTGTGTTGGATCACCAGTGTAACAAAGGTGAATGGGCATGGCCTTAGTGTAACGCACTGATATGTCAGTAGTATCTTTGGGCATTGGTTATGGGATCAGATATGTGGAGCACTTGAACCAAGTGCAAAGGTTAAGTGGCATAGATGTTATTTTTAGGGTTAGCAAGTCCCTAAATCCAAAATAAGATTTATGGAGATTGTGAGTGAGACTTTTCCAAGTAATCAAAGGTGTGGTTAAGTGACTAAAGTAGAATGAAAAACTTAGTCGCTTACAATTATATGTTTTTATTCCTTCAGTTCTTAGTTGTACTCTTAAAAGTTACCCTGTGCTCTAGTTTCTTCATTCCTTGGCTATATACTTAGGAGTTTTACTCCATCCCTTCATTCAAATATTCACTCCTCAGATCAACCTTGGTAAACATTCAAGCTTCACTAAGCTTATTGAATATATCATTCATATGTGGTATCAACATTTTATCCTTCACTATGGTAGTCAATAGATATCCACATTGAATTATTCTTATTCTTCAAGAGCAAGATTGACATACCAAATATAAACTTACTTGGCTAAATAAATCCAAACTTAAATAACACTTTGACTTATTATTGAATTTTATGTTGTTGAAATGGATGTTGATAGATCAATTTTATCCTAACTCCAGTATAAGCTCATGTTTCACACCTTGTAATAGAGGCAACAAATAAGGAGGTTCAGATGGAAAGACATTAACAAACTTTTGAGTACATCCCACATTATTGCTTCTCCCCCACATGTGTTTTAGTCCTTGTAACTTGAAAGTGTCTTTCCATTATGAAAAGCTTACTGCAAATATATAATGGAGAGCATAACAACTTAAATGTTGCATGCTTAGATCACATTTGATAGACCCATCTCTTAGACTTTTGTTATCCTCAATGTAAGCATGCTTACATGTAGTATTTGAGCAAGAAGAGTAAAGTTGTTTTTAGATCTTTATTGATAGGTGTTGCAATCCAACCAAGTGACATTTGTGCATCATGAAACAACACTTCAGAAAATTAGGAAAAGTTGATAAAAAACAATTAAATGACAAGAATTTCTCATATTTGATCCAATATTATTGTAAGAAGATGATATAATCTCTTTGATATTTGTTTGAATTTGCATCAATATATGTCCTTATATAAATTTATAGAGTCAAATTATGTTTAACATCTTGATTTTTTAATTACATCTTGATAACACCTGAGCATCATCTTAATGTCAACATATTAATCAACATCTTGATACAAATAAGCTTATTATGCTTCTCTTTTTTCATAAGAATATTATTTTAAATTTTATGATCATATGGAGTTATTTCTTCAGGATTATTTATATTCAAAGGTCAAAGCATACTATCAAACAGATAGTAACAACAAAAAATTAGAAGTATATATTATTATTAGTATTATCATATCATATCTAAAACAGGTCATAGATACATACATATAAATCAGCATAATGGAAGGAAGATTTTCAATATAGTAATAAGTACCAACTTTCTGCCAAAATGATAGATGTGTGAATTGTAATATAACATGATCTCACAAGTTAACTGGTAGTGTAAACTTTAATAGTACATATAAAAGTATAGTTACAGATATAGTTCATATATATAATGTGTCGATTGTATTAGGATGGAAGTTGGGAAAAGTTCTTACTCTTTTCAAAATAAACTTCTTGTCATCCAGGTTATCTTAAGAGATGCTTAAAAAAGAAATCAATTTTGATTGATTAGCTTGCCAAAAGATAATCACTATAAGTCAATCAAATCAAGTCAACAAAATGTGTTAGAAAAACACTTTCTTTTGTTTAATTTCCAAATATTTGAAGTAATAATATATTATAAGTAACAAGTGTGAAATATACAAAATATAAAGATTTATTTGTAAATTTGACATTAATATCCTATCACATCAGTACTTCTCACAGTCTATCCCAGTGAATTGATGTTTTTTATTAAGTGACTCTAATCTTACTCAGCTTCTAAATTACCTGTTTTTCTCTGTTATTTTAATTAAATTTTAAAATTTTTTTTTATCATTGTAATAGAGTTAATATTTGTAGTCAAGAATTTTATTTATATTAATAAAAGAGTTTATATTTTATGATCAAGTAAATAGTTCTCTTTTTTTTTAATTCTTCAAGGTGGAGTTTTTTAGTTCATGATTCATACATTAGTTTTCTCCTTTTGCATATTGTCAACAAAAGTAGATAAAAATTTAATAATACTAAAACTACTAATGTTAGCCCTCTTATAAAGATTTCGTTTATCCTTACCTTCATGAAAATTTTATATGGCTAAATCTTCGAAATCATACTAATTTAATTAACTATAAATATTTAATATAATAGAAGAGAAAATATTGGGCCAAGCATGGAAATTCCACTCCAAAAGCAAGCAATACAAATTTGCCACTGTTACCACATAGTTTAAAAATCAAAGCTCAAAACACACCATCCATTTAACACTGTATATCCAGTACAAAGTCTGGTACCCAACATTTGCCGGGCGATACAGACAACTAGTCTATTGACATTCTTTTGGTGCTCAAATGCTTCCTCTGATTTCGCATTCTTGTTCCTGGCACAAATGAATGAACGACGATGTCAGGAATGTTGAAGAAAAGTATTCTGTCCTAACAAAGGGTAGCAGATTAGAAAATGATGCTACTCACAAACATGCGAAGAACTTTGAAAACAATTTGGCCAGTTAAGCGACTTTGGATTTGCACACAGCCACCACCTGTAACATTCCGGCAGGAGTGGTAAAAGAATTTTATATCCCTTTCAAGCCAAGAACATGCAACTAGCTACTAAGCACTCACCGCTCACCCAGTGATCCTCGTCACCTTCTCAACGTCCGGGTATCGTCCTCCCGCATTTACCACCGTTACTTCCTCCGTCTACGTTGAATCGCCCGCTGTTCCTCAAGCTCCCATGCTCTCCGTGCAGCCTCGTAGCAGACGAAGGAGATACCAGCGGCTGGAACCAGCTTCAGCCAGGTGGTCCCAAGTCCTCTGTATAAAGCAAGGAACCCCTCCTCGGCGTAGATCTGCCTTACAACGTCCAGCGTACTGTTCCTCGCCACAAGTGCAACAGAACCCAGCTGCATTTGTCTCCGCGCCACCTTTGGCAAAATAGCGTTTGGTCTCAGGGAAGAAAGAAATCTTTTTACCTCCAGAGGGTAAGTAACGGCGCTGGAAGCCGCAGCAGCAACAGCACCAAATAGAAGTGTTAAACCCGTCGGGACGTGCCTTTTTCCGGTTGCACGGTGATAAGCACTCCGGAGCCCGTCGTAGACGAAGTAGTTTGTGGCAGCATAGGGGAACACTCCAAGAATGCTAGGCGTAAGACCGGCGTAGAGAGCAGAAAAGCCCTAGCGAGAGAATCGAGTTGGATCACAAGCAAAAGCAGCAGCGAAGGAAGTAGGTACCTCCTCATTCACCACCGTCATGATAGACTGAAGTGCACCGGTGTACTTGTGGGGCTGCAGGAGGATCCGAAACGAGGGTGAGCCACTGACAGAGAAGGGCAGACCCGCACAGAAAAGGTGACCATGCCTGCAGCGAAATGCGGGTCCTGATCAGCTCCAGCGGGTACGTGGCCAGGGTGCCAGCCATCCCCGCAGCACCGCCAGCAACCGGAGCAGCCACCCCGCAGAATGGGTTGCCTTGGCTGCTCAACATCTTTTTAACAACCTCAAACGTGCAAAGCTCAATGGCCTTGCAGGGCGCCACCCTTATACAGTTGACCCCGTTTCCTGTAGGGGAGTTAGCTCTGGAGGGCCGTGTGTGCTTGTGCTTACCTCGAAAAAGGCCCAGCCAGCCGTCTCTCTCCCAGATCTCGCAGAAGATGTCGGTGGCACTCTTGTGGTAGCCATGCACGCCATGCGAAGTGATGAGATGTGTCTACGGAAAAAGAGCAGGCGTGAGAAGGATGCGACGCAACCAGAGGTGGAGAGTTTTAAACCCTACCTTGATAAGGTCCAGCGGAGCCACGGCCGTCCGGGACACAAGCCCAGCAAAACCCCCACACAGAAAGTTCTTGAGCTCTTCGTGCCTCTTCCCTGATGGGCCGGTTGGGGCGTCGGGCCTGGCTGGCTTCAGACCGGTAGCAGAGTCCTTGTTCAAGGACGAGACGTGCCCGTTTGCGAGCGCCTCGGATTCCAGGGGAAGCCACTTGAACACCAGCTTTGTGGCGTGGCCCTGGGGCCTAAACTCGGGCCACAAGCCAAAACTGTCGATCCCTTTCTCCTCCACCCGGATGGACGCAAACACCTTGTCCACGAGGGCCGAGTTCATGGTGCATTCCAAGCACGCGCCTTGCTGCTGCCACACCTCCACCTTGATGCCTCTAAACTCGGCCGAGCCAGCCTTGAGCGACCGATCCATGCTGCCTTTTACAAGCTCCCCTGTGGCGGCGCTAGCGTGCGCAAGGCAAAACATTGCCTGGTGCAACCACCAAGCTCCCACCCATGCTCACCGCTGCCTCGCGCAGCGCCTAGGGCGAGGCGAGACCACAAAATAAACTGATTTGTCCACGTCATGCGACCACGTGGCAGTAGCATCGGAGTTTAAAACTTTGGGGGGAGGACGTGAATTTGACAGAATCTATCTACTTGCTTGCTAATAGAAATTCTACGTGTCCCAATCACCAGTGAAGCCTTCGGAAAGCCGTTAGATGTGCTAGATTCGGTTCAAATTCCACCGTAGGATGCTGTTCTCGTTTTCTTAGGGCTCTTTGATTTTTTTATTTGGCTTTGGAGGGAAAAGAAAAGCCCCAAGGCTCCCTCGCCTAGGCTAGGGTTTGTGGCAGAGCAGGGAGGGAATGTGGCAGCAGATTCAAGCTTGAGGAATGCCGAGGCTGTCGCCACTGCGGATTTTTGGGAGCTTGCCCGGTGGCAGCAAAGGGGGGCAATGCGCCGAGTCTGCGGAGAACGAGAGCGCTGGTCGTGTTCCCTTCGGTGAGATCTCTGGATTCGATTCGTCTACTCCTTGCAACAGGGCACACACAGCCTCCAATCCGCTTTCGGAGAAGGAGAAGAATGTGGCTTCCGATGGCGTTGCGGACAGGCGTGCCTTCAATCCCACGCTCAAGCTCAAGTGGATCCAGCAGCAGGCGATCGTCAAGAAGCAGCAGCTCCAGCCCCGTGACGACGATGCGCGATCTGACACCAGCGAGCAGCAGCAGCAGCAGCCGTTTGGTACCCCGTCCTCGCGCGGCCCCCGCCACCAGCCTTACAGCAGCGTCCAGGCGGCGAGCAAGCACGGCGGAGGAAGCCAGTTCAGCACCCCTCGGGCTTGCAAGATCGACAACAAGTATGTGACCATGCATTCCGAGCCCGGGAGTAACTCTGGCCATGCCGGGACTGGGACGCCCAAGAAGAGCGTGTCCAGGACGCTCAAGTATAACCAGGACGCGGGGCTGCGTGCTGCCGGAGCAGTGCCGGGGCCGGTAGTAAAGTCTCTGGGATTCTGTCAGGGACAGCACGGGGAAGTTTTGGCACCGGCACACTTTGAGCTCGAGGAGGACGTCTCCTTTTGGCAAGACCATAATGTTCAGGTATGCTCGTGAGAGTCCACACACGCTCTGCATCTTACTGTTTTATCTCTGGCCAGGTGCTCATCCGTATAAGGCCTCCCAGCCCGCTAGAGGTTTCGCTTCAAGGCCCCGGCAGATGTCTGCGTCAGGATACTGCTCACAGCCTTACGTGGATCGGGCACCCCGAATCAAGGTTTACCTTCGACCATGTGGCCTGTGAAAGCGTCAACCAGGTTTGCTGGCGTTTCTGCTACTGACTGATGGTGGCTCTGGACTGCACCAACTTTTTCAGGAGAAGCTGTTCAGAGTCGCGGGGCTGCCAATGGTGGACAACTGTATCTCCGGATATAACAACTGCATGTTTGCCTATGGTCAGGTGAGTGGTTCTGTAGCCCTCGGTCTCATGGACGGTGTAATCATGTGAGCGGCATGCCTTGGCAGACGGGGAGTGGGAAGACCCATACAATGCTTGGCGATATTGATCAGGAGCAAAGCGAGGAAAGAGGAATGATACCCCGGGTTTTTGAATACCTCTTTGTAAAGATCCAACTGGTATGTACTCGTCCTTGGAAACTGCCCGTGCTGATTGCTGTCCAGGAAGGGGAAGCTCGCAGATCTCAAGGCCTTGAGTTCGCATGTAAATGCTCGTTTCTGGAAATTTACAATGAGCAAGTTTCTGATCTTCTCGAGCCGTCCACCACCAACCTGCAAGTGAGGAGTGCCTTTCTGCTTCTTCATGTCTTACGCTCTTGCTTTCAGTTGAGGGAGGATGTCAAGAAAGGCGTTTATGTTGAGAACCTCAAGGAAGTAGAAGTCAACAGTGTTGGAGATGTTATGAAGCTGCTTAATCAGGTACTGTTTACTGGGTCTTTGGTTGTTATCAATGGCGGATGCTATACAGGGCTCTGCAAACAGAAGAGTGGCGGCTACAAACATGAATAGAGAGAGCAGCCGTTCTCACAGCGTTTTCACCTGTGTAGTGGAAAGCAAGGTTTGGAGTCGGTTCAAGATTGCAGCACATAAGTATCAAAACATTTGCAGTGGGAGTCGGATGATTCCGTCATCAACACACGTTTTGGACGATTAAATCTGGTCGACTTAGCAGGGTCTGAAAGGTGGTATTATTTTTTTTCTTTAGAAAACATATCCTATTTCTCCTTAGACAGAAGAGTTCGGGAGCGGAAGGCGATAGGCTCAAGGAGGCTGCTAACATTAACAAGTCCCTCTCTACACTTGGGTGTGTTGATACTGGATTGCACTTATAACCTCACATGTCCTGTTCGCAGGCTTGTCATCATGGTCCTTGTTGACGCTGCTAACGGCAAGCCGCGGCACATACCGTACCGCGACTCTAAACTTACATTCCTCTTACAAGTAAGGATTCTAGTTGCGTGCATGCAACAATCAACCCGTTTTGCAGGATTCACTGGGTGGGAACTCGAAAACAATGATTATAGCAACTGTGAGCCCTTCTAACAGGTATAGTTGAAGGGTTTTACGAGTGTTGAGTATTGGTTTTTTCAGCTGCTCTTTGGAGACTTTGAGCACTCTAAAGTTCGCCCAACGCGCCAAGTTTATCCGTAACAACGTAAGCTATCGATGAAGAATCTTTTTGGTTTAATCGTTTTTGCTGAACAAATATTCTTGTGGTAGGCTATCATTAATGAGGACAGCTATGGGGACGTTGTTTCCCTGCGTCAACAGATCCAACAGTTGAAGGTAACCTGAAGGTGGTTTGACAAATAACATGTCTTGTGTTGCAGGATGAAGTGAACTATCTTCGGAGTCAGGATTGTAGAAACAATGATCAGCCTGTGGAGCCATGTCTTTTACACAGTCTGGTACTGGTTTGCCCTTTCCCCCGTTCTTTTTTTTTTTTTTTTTTGTTTGTTTGCATTCTACTATCTAGCCTTCTCTACAGGGTCAAGAAGTACTTGCTGCTTCTTTGAGAAGAGAGGCAGCGGCGGAATCAGTCATTAAGAACCTTGGGGTGGAGATCAGTCACCTTAAACGACTGGTATAATTTAACCGCTTCATGACATCGTGCCTAATGTTCTGCATAGGTGAGGCAAAGGGAGGAAGATACACAACGCGTGAAGATGCTTTTGCGATTTAGAGAGGACAAAATCAGAAGGCTAGAAGCTGCGGAGGATGGACCCACTGCTGGAGGCTCTTTTTGTTTGGAAGACAGGGAAGCTTTGGTAGAGGAAGTAAAGGTCCTTGGCAGCAGAGTCGAACACAACCCTGAAGTTACACGATTTGCAATGGAAAACATACGCTTAATGGAAGAGCTGAAAAGGTTTGTTTTGAAGTCGTCATCTGATGTTATTTAATGTTGCCTTCAGGTTCCACGAATTTTATGACAACGGAGAAAGAGAAACCATGACTACTGAGTTGTCGAACCTTCGGGATCAGGTAGACTAATTTTTTCTCAGATTTAACGTTTGTTGTTTTTGTTTTTACGTTTTTTAAAGCTTATGGAGGTTTTGGAAGCAAATGCGATTTTGAAGGTGCTTCTGTTTGCGCTCTTGTACTTAATTCTAGTTTTTTCAAACCTTTGCAGGAGGAATGTGGTATTCAGAGCCATTCACGGCTTTTAGAAGAGGTTGAGAATTTCCGCTCTGAGGTTCGGAAGCTTAGCCAAGCTCTTAGTTCTTATTTTTAAATGTTGTGTCTAGGCGAACGTTATGGAGGAGCATAAGCAGAAATCAGAATCCTTACAACGGGAAAACGGAGAGCTCATTAGGTATTCTATAGTTGTCTTGATTGAACCCTGTATCTGTTCCCGGGAAATAGGGAGTTGCAGAGTAGAACCAGCGAAATGGAGTTTTACAAACGGGAGCTGGACGCGGTACGGTTTTACGTTTTCTTTTGCTTTACTGTTTCCTGATAATCTTCAATTGAACTCTTTTGGCAGTATAAGGAGAGAAAGGCCTGTGATATAGAATCCAATGCACGCTTAGAGCTGCAGTTAAAAGAGGCAATGAGGGAGAAGCAAGCTCTAGAAGCCAGTCTCGAGGTTTGTTCTGAACTTCTCAGCTCACTGAGGTGGCAATGTTGTCTGGTGCAGGAAGCAGATGAGTTACGTGAGCAGATGGAAAGCCAGCAGTTAGTGTTAATCAACGAGCTTGAAGCTGCTCTCTTGAAACAACAAAAATACGAAAGTGACGACAGTACAGCCGTGTTAAGGAGCCAGGTGCAGTTGCTACAGCTTGAACTGAGAAGGAAAGAAGAAATCCGCTGCTTAGAGAAGACTGTGGGCTTCGATGAGGCAGAAAAATCTAAGACCGAACAGGAGGTACTGAAGATTAGGGAAGAACTTGACGAGGCACAGGAGTTGAACAGGCTTTTCTTCAGAGAAAAAATACACAGGCTGGCTATAGAAAAACAGATGGATGTCAGGCGTGCAGAAGTTGAAGCTGAGACGGCAGATACTATTTCTAATCTGCATAGGGACCTTCTTATGGCAAATGATAAGTTCGCACTATCTAGTAACCACGAAAAACTCTCATCTGACGAGGTCGAAAGCTTGCAGCTTGAAAATGCACGGCTAGCAAATTACTGCAACGAACTGAGGCTGGGCAAAGAACAAGAGCTTTGCAAGCTCTGGCAACAGACTACAAGAAGACTAGCCGATTATCTATCTGAAGGTGACGCGACACTTGATGCTGCAGCAACGGAAATGGAACGGATTTTTCAGACTTCCTTGCCGGATTGTCCACCAAGCCATTTTGCTGCGGAGAAGCAAAAGGTTATTCAGGCTTTACAGTTAAAGCTACACCAGGCTTTTGAGTTTGTCAAAGATGCAGAGCAAAAGATGGAGGCTTTAACTGACGCGACCTCAAATATGTCGAAAATGCAAGAGACACAGAGAGAGGAGGTGTTGACGACAAGGATTACTGCAGAAGAAGCCATATGCAGAGCAGACTGCCTTGAAGGGAACATGAGAAAGCTCAACAAATTTCTGGAGGTCGCCTTTATAGTGATTAACAACCTTGCCGAGGCACAGGAACAACAACGGGAACTAGAACGAACTGAAGACGCGGGTTTAATATGCTCACTAAGGAGGAGTCTGCTACTATCCGAGAAAAGAGGACACGCCGCTCTTTTAGTTGTAAAGCATTGCGTTGGCGTGGAGGAGCAGCTGAGATCAAAGATTTGCGACGGTGCAAGTATTATTTCGGAACAGCAAACAGCTATAGCTATTCTTCAGGAGAAGAATGACACCCATATCCGTGTTTTAGAACAGACTCGAACCGAGCTACAAGAACACTCGACTAGACTACATGAGGCTGAAGAGCTTTGGTGCGCCGAAAAGGAACGGCTGTTGACGGATGTGAAAGTGTTAACGTCTCAGACCGATTATCTCGCGAAAGACTGTAGTTACTCGAGTTCAACACTACTCAAGCAGATGGTCAGTTTCGAGCAGCAGGTGCACGATTCCAAGTTACTGGTCGACGACGCGTTTCGATCTATCTCCCATGAAGGATTGTCAACACTGCATGCGGTTAAGATCGACATATCAGAGGCCCGAAACTTCGTTAACGCACTCAGGGAGGACAGTGACGCGAATGTTTTAAAAGGCTACAAGGAGGTCGTTGCGACAAGGCTTGCGTTGGAAAAGGCCCGAGCGACACATGCTTCTGACATGTCCAAGGCGAATCTGGAGTTGGACATGCTCCGAGAATCAGCTGAAGTTGAAAAGCTGCGATTGCAAATGGCAATAGCTAATGCTCAAGAGAAGCTTTCGTCGTTGCAGTTCAAAGTTGGCGAGCAATCTTTGGAACTTCAGAAAGCTCAGCACAAGTGCGAGGCTTACGAGAAAGACTGTATGGTGGCTGTATCAGAAATGCATGAGCTGGACATAAAGGTTCAGGAGCTGGATGACCACATCGCGCGGCTTGAAGCAGAAAACGGGGCGTTGAAGGGCAGGGTCGCCTCGTTGCTGGAAGATATCGAAAGGAAAAATGCTGCGTGCAAGGAGCTAGAGATTTCTGTTCAGGAGCTCGTTGAGGAGGCAAGGAAGAAACAAGATGACACTTTACAGCTTCGGCAAGAGATGCATTCCAAGGGTGACAACATTCTCCGGTTGGAAACGGTGGTTCGTAATGCCCATGAGGAGCTTTCACGATCGAACCATGAAGTGGCTGCGACAACAAAGGAGTTACAATCTTTGAAGGACGCGACACTGGCAGAGAAGTCCACATTGAAGTCTAGTATTCAAGAATTGGAATATAAGATGGTGGACTTGAATCTTATAAAATCGAAACTTGAGGAAAAGAACAACGTCCTCGAGCAGCAGGTTGCGGTGCTAGAGCGGAACTCCAGAGCGTCACATTCGGATTACGAAAGTAAAATTTCGAACGAGATCGAAAAGAAAGAGTCTATTATCAAGGGCTTGGAATTTGACATGGGTTTACTTCAGGAGTCATTCGCTGACATGGCTGAGACAAAAGCTGACGTTCTGGAAACCAATGCGAAGCTACAGCATGAATTGTCCTTGAGGTTGAACGATCTTTCAGAAGCACAAGGGCTTCTTGCAAGTGCGCGCGGGGAGCTCTCGGAAAAATTGAGTAGTCTGCGCTGCCTGGAAGGCGAGGCTGATACGCTGAGAGATCTTAAGGCGACTTTGGCATCAGAAAACAACGCTCTCGTTAAGAAAATTGAAGAACTCGTGTTTGAAAAGAACAACGTTCAAGACGAGTTGGAAGAAAAGTCGCATTTAGTTGAGAGTTTGGATCTAGAGCTTTTGGAGCTGAGCTCCTTGGTGGAACAGAAGGTGGCAGAGGCTGTTAGTTCTGTACAGGAGGAGCTGAATGCTGTACTTCAGGAGCGGGACAGGCTAAGTGCGGACCTGTTGGTTGTTACCGAGCAGCTTGACATGGCCCAGTCACTCGCTGACGAAAGAGAAATCGTGGCAGTCGAGGCTCG